AAGGGAAGTGGAAAAAGAAGATATAGGAGGAAGAAGAAGTGAGAAAGATTAAAAGAAGTAGAAGAAAAAGTAAAGGTGAGGAAGAAGAAGAGAAATGAAGAAGGAGAAGGAGAAAGAGGGCGGCTAAGGTGGCTGGCAACGACGAGCTGGGGAGAACAAAGAGGTCGAAGGTAGAGAGGGGAACTCGGCTCCTTTTACGTGTGTGAGTGTGTTGTTAGAGGGGCAGTTGGGTATGTGAGTTTAGTGAATAGGATAAGGGATATTTATGAGATGAGAGTTAGGGTTAATACATTTAGGATTTGCAATTTATTATCATTTTTTTATTTTCATTCTTTGCAATTTACTTTCATTTATACAGTTTGTAGTTTAAGTCATCTTTTGGTCCATGTTGGTCTAAATTTTGATAGCATCCTAACATCGACCCCACATAGAAGGCTACATCAAGTGTGCTAGGCCTTTCCATCACTCTAAGAAAGGTATGCATTGTTTTTTTTGGATAAGGTGGATGCTAGAATAACTTAGAATAATTAATAACTTTGGATATCTGCTCAAAATTAAAATTTTTGAATTACTTAGAAGAATTAATATGAAAGATACATCTTGAACAAAGAGTTTTTATTGGGAGATATTTAAATGGACATGCTAGTAGAGAGGTAGAGAATTTTAAAAGCATTTATGGCGGCTATGGGTTTGGAGCGACTAATAAAGGTGGTAAGAATATATTAGATTTTGCTCTGGCTTATGACTTTGTTATTGCAAATATCTTATTTAAGAAAAGAGATGATCATCTCATCACTTATTAGATAGATATAGTAAAATTCAAATTGATTAATTTCTTGTAAGAACAATGGATCGTTTAGATTGCCAAGATTATAAAATTATTCCAAGTGAAAGTCTATGTAGACAACACCGCTTATTAGTTTTGGACTTTAAGATAAAGGGACAGAATATGAAAAATATAGTATATTGTTGTTCTAGAATTAGATGGTGATATTTAAAGAACTCTAACAAAAATATCTTTGAGAGTAAGATTCACAATCTTAAGATTTCGTCGGTGCATGAAAAAGCTAATATTATATGGAAAATAGTAGCTTATAATATTAAGAATGTTGCAAAGGATGTGCTTGAAGTATCAAAAGGAAAAACTTCTAATAATAAAAATAGCTGATGGTGGAATAAAAATGTGTAAGAAAAGATAAAAATAAGAAGCTTTGTTATAAAAATTAGTTTAGATATAAAAATTCTTAAAATTGGAAAAGATATAAAGTTGTCCGTAAGGAGTCTAAGAAAGCATTCTGTGATGCAAAGATTTTAGTTTTTAATGATTTATATAATAGATTAGATACTAAAGATAGCGAAAGATATATGTATAAGCTAGTCAAACAAAGAGATAGGAGTAATAAAATTAGTTCAAGTGAAGTGCATTAAAGATGAAAATCAAAAAATACTTTTTAGGAGAGGAAATTCAACAGAGGTGGATGAGATATTTTGCTAAGCTTTTTAATGAAGATTGTGAAAATAAGATTGACTTTAGTGACCTTAACATTTTAAATGAAAATATATATTTTTATTTTTATCAATGTATTACTAAAACCAAAGTTAGAGAGATTTAAAGAAAATGAAGTGTGCGAAAACTGTTGGACCTGATGATATTCCAATAGAGATGTGGAAATGCTTAGGAGATGAAGGAATTTTTGGCTTACTAAATTTTTTAATATTATTTTGAAGACTAAAAAGATGTCAGATGTGTGGAGAATGAGTGTGTTGATTCCTATCTTTAAGAATAATGAGGATGCACAAGATTGTGCAAATTATAGAGGAATTAAGTTTGTGTCATACTTTAAAATTATGGGAGAGAATTATGGAGCATAGGTTAGGAGTGATACTAATGTTTCTAAAAATCAATTTGGATTCATGCTAGGTAGGTTTACTATGGAAGGCATGCATTTATTGAGAGGTTTGATAGAGAAGTATAGAGAGAAAAAGGAAGGTCTTCGTATAATTTTTTTTTTATTTAGAGAAAGCAAATGATAAAGTTCCAACAAAAGTATTATGGAGAGTTCTAAAAAGAAAGTGATTAATAATGCTTATATTCAAGTCATGAAGGATATGTATGTTGGAGTTGTTGCTTGTGTTCAAACACAAGGTGGTTTGACCAAGTATTTTACAATTTAGTTGGATTACATCAATGATCAGCCTTAAGCCCATTTATTTTTGCTTTAATTATGGATGTTCTAACTAGAGAGTTGCAAGAGGATGTTCCCTAGTGTATTCTTTTTGCTGACGATATTCTTCTTATTAATAAGACTAAAGAGGGAGTTGAAGGTAAACTTGAATTATGGAGGCCAACCTTAGAGTCTAAAGGTTTTCTTTTGAGTAGATCAAAAATCGAATACTTCTAGTGTAATTTTAGTAGTAATAGATCTAGTGGAGGTTTATGAATTTGAATGATCAAGTCATTAATAAGAGTACACGTTTCAGGTATCTTGGGTCTATTGTTCAGAGTGATGGTGAAATAGATGGGGATATTATTAGTAGAATTCAAGTTGGATGGATGAAGTGGAGGAATGCATCGGGCTTGTTGTGTGATAGCAAATTACCGCTCAAACTTAAGGGAAAATTCTATAAGATGGTGGTTAGACCTACAATGTTTTATGACGCAGAATGTTGTCTATTAAAAGAGGAACAAAATATTAAGTTAAGTGTTGTAGAGATGAGGATGCTCATATGGATGAGTGGCTTTACTCTTAGAGAATGGATATGAAATGAGCATATACATGAAAAGGTTGGAGTAGCTCCAATGGTAGAAAGATTAGGAGAGTCTCCTTAGATGGTTTGGTCATATAAAATGGCCGCCTTCTGATGACCCGGTTAGGAGAGTATGTATCAGATTTAACCTATGTTAAAAAAAGGTAGAGATAGACTTAACAAGACTTGAATAAAAAATATTAGAAATGACATTTCTTTATTAGATTTAAATGGAGAAAAAGGATTCATGTAGCCGACCCCACTTAGTGGGATAAAGGCTTGATGTTGTAGTTGTTATTGACGTTGTAAGGTGGATTCTAGAGAGAGAAAGAGGGGATGGGACCTCTGTCTAGAGATAGAAAGAGAGGGGAAGAGAGTTTTCTCTCTTTCTAGATGTGTGGAGGGGAAAAAGTCAGTGTTAGGTTTATGGTGGATTTGAGAGAAAAGGAAGATGCAGAGAAGTGGAAGAAGAAGATAAAGGAGGAAGAAGTGAGGAAGAATAAGAGAAGTAGAAGAAAGAAGTAAAGGTGAGGAAGAAGAAGAGAAAAGGAGGAGGAGAAAGAAGGCAGTTAAGGTGGCTGGCGAAGGCGAGCTGGGGAGGCCAGTTGTCTGGCCCTGGGATCGCACAGCAAAGAAGCCAAAGGGAGAGAAGGAAACTCAGCTCCTTTTGTTTGCATGAGTGTGTTGTGAGAGGGGTGGCTGGGTATGTAAGTTTAATGAATGGGATGAGGGATATTTATGTAAGGAGAGTTAGAGTTAGGGTATTTATGATTTTATTATTATTATTATTATTATTATTATTATTATTATTATTATTATTATTATTATTATTATTATTATTATATATCTGAAATCGTCGTTCTTTTTTTAAAATAATAATGAATATTTATTTGAGTTAATCGTGCCTCCATATGCTTGCCAAGTGGTTTTCGTTCGCGAATGTTGAGTCCTCGATTAGCATGTGTTAAAATTAATTTTCATCAATCAAAGGCCCCAACCAATATGTGTATCGATCTTAGTTGTTTTAGTTACCCCGAACGTGTCAACATTGTCTGTTTCACAAATAGATGGCGTTTAAGGATTTGGGTTTTTGGTTGACATGCTTCAGGTAGCCTTCGTGCGACATCATGCCCCTTTGCCTATCATTTTCGTCATGCATGGTCAACTCGACTTTACAATTGATGTCAAAGTCAACATAGACCAATAGGTAATAAAGGCTAGAAAAAAGTCATAAGGGAAGGAAGAATGGGGTGATAGCAATGAGAGGACAGGCTTGCAGGCAGCCAATAGGTGTCCTGCAGGTTTGAGAACAGCTGGAGAAAGTGGGTGGGGGTTGTTATGAAGAATCCGACCTGACGGATAACTGGCATGGCTAAGGAGGCAGCTAGCAGGCAAGTGGAGATGCTAATAGGACAGTTGACAAGCAAGTGGGTGATGCCAAGAGGGCAGAAGTCTTGTGGGTTGCTGGTGGCTGCAGGCTGGATTTGAGTAGGAAAACTGCTGAATTAAGGATTTCCACAGAAAACAACCTCCATAAGAGGATGTGCATCAAAACTAATATTACCATAAAGCTGCTTTTATGTATCAATTATTAACCCAACAAATGTGAGAACTAGTCAATTTACTTTAAGAAACAAGCAAAACATTTAGAAACATTATGAAAAAGGCAGCGTCTAGTCTCTTTCGAAGCTGGAACAAAGATAATAGTTTAGAAAACTATGGGCATTATTACTGTATAACTAAATAAAATGGATAAAAATAATCAAAATCAAAGCTTTTCATGACTCCATTTGACAAAATTGTCAGAATTGATCCAGTGCCGTAGTGGACAGATTTAGCCTCATAGTGGTTGAAGTCCTAAAAGAGTGCTAGAGAGCTTAACATTAAGGCACTATATATGAGAGTATCCATCTCTTTTAGGCAAAGTTAGGACTACAATACTCATAAAAAGGGCCTACCCATTGGACGTAACTTCACATCAATATAGGCCTCAAGGCCTCATCAGGGGTTGATCTATTCAACTTACCCAGCATTACTGAGAGATTGTTCCCATAATTCAAACCTGAGCTCACTAAATCACAATGAAGGCAACCAACACTGTTCCATTACACATTTTAGAATCATAATAGTCATAAGTCAGATAGTCTCATAAATCATCAAACATGGACCATGATCTGAGTCAAAACTTAGGCTGATAGCTCAGTTAAGCGCATATATTTAGTAAAATTGATCACCAGGAAACTTTAACTTACCTTTGCAACAATACAAGTGCCTTCAAAAGCCAGTTTAGCCAGAGACAATACACGGTCAGCATGATCTACAAGCAATTGCGAATACCAACCAAGGAAAAATCGACCATAATAGCCATCATAATCACCACCATCACAAAAGAATGCAGTTTCTTGGGGCCTTGAATTGTAAGACCCAGCATTTTCTGGACCTCTTGCCCAGAAGGAGTGACCTCTAGCTTCTGCGGCTTTTCTCAAACTTTTTATGAGATATTGATCATAGCACTGCACAATAAACTCTTATATCAGTGCATAACCTGTAAATTTATGATAGAGAAAATCATTCTCTACAAGTGTATTACAGTGTTTATCCATCATGAAAACAAATAGCAAACATAGTAGTTGATAGTCAGTAGGCAGTTTCGAAAGTGCAGTAATCAATTCAGATGAAGTATCCACTGTTAAAATATTTAAAATCATTTACATGGCAACAAACTCCTTCACCATACCACATATTGCAATTTATGATTACCTGGAATTCGCCAATGCCAGGATATCTCCAGCCATTCTTGACTGAATAAGATGGGTAACGTAGCTCTCCACAGGGCCCTAATCCAACTTCTACAGCGGAGATGATTCCATCTTCAAAGAATTCATCAAATTCAACTCGAAAGCTTCTCATGTAGTCAAAGTATACCTAAATATATGTTGATTAAATAATCATGCAGTTCAATTGGAATCATGGCAAAGAAATAAAGTGCAAAAGGGAAGTTTAAAGACCCAAACGACAGAGTGGCTCATTTAGAGCTAGAAATCCATACCAAAATCCATCTCATCCTAATTAAACATTTTTTTATTATTATTTTCAATAACTTCTCAAAGAACTTCTACTTTAATCAGCAACTGTCAATTTCCCCTTTTTTATCTTGAAATTTCCAGCTTTTTTATTTTGAATTTCCCGCTGTAGATATACCACTATTAAAGATAACATTCAACTTTACCCAGAAGTTTTACAAGTGATTAAATGGAAGAGACAATTGGTGGGCATCAGTATTGATTACTTGATCATTAAAGATACAGTATTTGAGCCTCTGGTATACAGACGTTATTAAAGAGATGTACAATAAAGCAATGATAGAATTTGAAGTATTTGTGAAGTAACTTACGAATTTGTAATCATAATATGATTATCTCTAGAGCGCTATGTTTATATTTTATATTGGTTCTTGCAATTAACAAAATATATTCGACAAGAGATAACTTACTGTGTTATTTACAAATAACAATGTTCTAATGGACAGAGTGTGCAATTTGATGGTTTTGCTATGTTATTAACAAAACCAAGGAACCTAAACAACTTTGTTTTCCAATCCATCTAAATATCCAACCTTTCTTTCATTCATTACCCGGAGAATGCTTGCTTGACAACTAGCACATGAGATCTGAAAGTAAACACGATTATAAAGACAGCAATCCCAACCAGATTTTTAACCCGAATCCTGATTTGCCAAAATTAAAAGTATGGTGTAAGAAATATTAATATTAGAGACACAATTGTACTAGAGCAGTAACACCTATTAAACATAAGATAGTAGAAAATTTAGTTGAGTGATTTAGGCATGTAAAATATAGGGCAAAAGATGAATGAATATAACAACAACATCAAGCCTTTATCCCAACTACATGGAGTCAGCTACATGAATCTTTTTTCTCTGTTGTGTCCTATTAAGAATCAATTCTTATTTAAATTTAATAAAAATTGTTATTTCTAATATTTTCTAGCCAAATCTTTTTAGGTCTACCTCTATCTTTCTTAAAATAGACCAAATCTAATGCATCTACTCTCCTAATCAGGCCATTGTAAGGCCGACGTTTTATGTGTCCAAATCATCTAAGGTGATTCTCTCTAAACTTATTTTCCAGTGGAGCTACTCCAACCTTTTCACGCACATACTCATTTCACATTCTGTCTCTAGGAGAGAAGCCAATCCACTTGAGCATCCTCATCTCTGCAACACTCAACTTAATTTTATACTTCTCTTTTAATGGCTAACACTCTATGTCATAAAGCATTGCAGGCTATGTTGCACCAATACTTCTATTTATGAAGGCATGTCGTATCCGATACACCGATACATGGATATGCCTCCGATACGGCACTGATACGTGTCGGATACGCTAAAGCCGTATCCAATTAAAATACTATTTAATTTCAAAAGGACACGCGTATCTGATACGCATGTCCGTTGAAAAACAAAAAAAAACGCGTTGTATTTACTTCCACAACTGCGATGTTGACCTCTATGTATTAACCGGTAGAACAAAAAAAAAATCAAAATCATACCCGGCGGATCCACAATATCTGCCCGAAATCCCAGATCGAATCCTCGTATCCGTCGAGAAGCCGTCCAAATCCCCGAAATTCCGCCGAGGTACTGTACATCAGCGCCGAATCGGTCGCTTCTCCGTATTCCCTGCGTGAAATCAGCTCTCGATCGCTGCCCCGTTCTCTTCGTTAAATACCGAACCAACACAAGCTTTCGTGGGCGGCTTCTCAATCCCGTTCGAACTCTCTGTCCCGAGCTCCTCCCTCTACATCCTGCGACTCTCCTTCTCCGATCAAGTCCCACTTTCAATCCTCTCATCCCCACGACTTTCATACCCGCAGGATCGGAAGTCACTGCATTTCCGATCTCAAGCTCCAGCCGACCTCTCTACCTCTTGTTTCTTTCGGTCCAGCCACAAGCCGAGAGAGAGAGAGAGAGAGAGAGAGAGAGAGAGAG